CACACACACACACACACACACACACACACACACACACACACACAAAAGATACAGAATTTCACTAGCCAAATTAATATTGGTTCTATAGTATTTGTTGTATGGCATAGTGCTGTCTTCAAATTAGTTACTTGGGTTACCAGATATATGCATGAAAAATTGGAAAAAGAAAGAAAAAAGTTATAAGAAATTAAAAGAGAGAAAGGAAAAAGAAGAGAAAAAAAAGGATTAATTGTTCCTTAGACTAGCAGAAATCCACAGTACAATTATCCAAACCATACTGCTTATGTGCACAGCTGTATCTCTTTCCCCACTCTTTCTCCCATCCTTCTCCTCATCTCAGTAATTCCTTGCTTTTGAACAGATTCATTCCCTTTTCACAGTATCTATTGTACCCTTCAGACTATATTTACTCTTACAGACATCCCAACACAGTCCCCCAAAAAATTCTTCTGGTTTTTACACTACTGAGGTAATATGATGTTTGCATATGCGGGTCTGATTTATTTCACTGAAGAGTACAGTCTCTAGTTGCATCCGTTTACCCATAAGAGTCTCAAATTTATCCTTTTTATCGCTAAATAATACTCCACTGTATAAAAATAGTACATCTAAAGGGCTGGCCAAATTGCTCAGCAGATTAAAGTGCCTGCAAGCAGGTGCAGGAGCCAGGCGTTCGATCCCCAGGCGTGCGGTGCCAGCCCTGCCCCTAGAGAATGCTGAGACAGCAATTGAGACTAGGCATGGTGACACGCACCTGTAATCCCAGCTCTTGGGAGGCTGTAAACAGGAGAATCACTACAAGTCTGATCTAGTAGTGAGATCCTGAACACCCTATAGAGCCCTCCCTAAAAATAAAAAATAAATAAAAAATAAAAATTAAAAAAACCCAAACACCCTCCATCATCTTTATCCATTCCTTAGTTGCAATATTTTGAGAAATCACCTTCTTTTTGTGTTTTAGGCAGAGTTCAATAGATTTATCTTTATTGGTGTATTTTATAAGGTTGGATAATTTAAGTCACTATTTTATCCAAATATTTTCCTTATACTCCTTCCTTTACCTTATATTTCTTTCTCTACCAACAACTATAATTGTTGCTATTTAGATTGTGCAATAATCTAATTAATCAATGTAATTTTAACACCATGTCTTCTCCCACAACATGATTTTTGACATCTGTTGAACTGTTGTGAAGTTCCCCGAGTGCTGTTCCTGCAGTGCCCCATCATCTCCAGTCCCATCCACGTAAAATTTTAAATTGTAGATATTAAAAATCTACTTAGTGCTTGTGTTTTAAAATGACATGCTTCTATTTCTTTCAAGAAATGGTAGATTTTCTTACCTATTACATCTATGTTAACATTTACCATATTGATAATAGTTGTCAAAGTACTGTCATTTGGTTTTTATACTTGATTTATCAGTAAGTCTGGCTAAATGATTGTATTTTGTTCTGTATTTTTAGAAGTTTACAGGGTCCCTTGTTGTCCCATGTCTTATAATTTTTATAAAGTACATTGCTACTAAAATACGTTTCCACATATTTTCACTGAGAAAAAAAGTGCAAACCAGCTCCTGTCTCCTAAAGAGGATGAGAGACGATCGTGCAGCTTCCTTTTAGAGTGGAGTCCACGTTGGACTCGGCTCTATCTTCAATTATGCTCCATCTGCCTGTGATTACCTCAACCTCTGTTCTCTAGCCCTGTCTCATTTTCCATTATTATTTTATTTCTTTTTAAATACACTGTTTAAATACAGAGTTTGAAACCTGAAACTGAGAACTTGGAAGTCATAGGATACATAACCAGTAATTCCTGGAAGACATAGACTTCACTTTATAAAAAAAGAATAGAGAAGAGAGGCCACCTGTGACACAGTTAATAGAGGATTCTTGGAGCCCCTGGAAACTCCCAGGGGAATCCAGGAGTCTCTTGGCCAAGAGAAGAGGCCTTACAAACTATACTCTGAGTTGGGACTAAATGAGAAAGCTGGTATTGTTTACCTGATGATGAACTTTCTGTCTTTCACACTTATGTGCCAAGAGAATTTAGAGACAACTTTGTAGCACAGCTCCCCAAATGGCTCCCCAGATGGCTATGATCTAAGAGAGAAAAATAAAATTAAAGAACAGGTAAAATGTTCCACCGGAGACTTTATGGTTCTATCCTCCTGTGGTTTCTTGTCACCTTTTTAACAGACATTGAAATCCAGGCCTGCCTAGGGATGAGCTATATGGTTTCCTTAAAACTGTGCTGGCTCTTCTTATATCCAATGAACTCCTCAATACTTCTCTCTGAATAAGTGCTGCTGTGTTCCGAGGCTGCATAGGAAGAAAGCCAGTGGGTTCTCCAAGTGAGGAGCTTCATGGGCTCTGGTGGGCTGTCCCGCTGCAGCACCACACAGCCCAGAGGATGGAGCCCTCTTCAGTGCAATGGGGAATTGTCTGGTTAGTGCATTTGGTGCATTAATTTAATGATTCATTAAGTCTATGCATATTTTACTGAAATACAAAATTATTTTCAAGTCTGAATTTTTTCTCTGAGGTGAGTGATCTGATTTACTACCTATATCAATTCTGGAAAGTATTATCTTATTACTTTTGACTAAAGGTTCACATTTAGGCCCCTAATGAAACAGAAACATTCACTGATGTCCTCACTGATTATTTTCAGTTTTTCTCACCTTTACAAGGTAACTAAGTACTAATAGTGTTTGGACAGGATATCATGTCTGCATCTTGTACTATGAATAACTACTATGAAGACAACAATATAGAATGTATTATTTATTGTAACTGTCCTACTAACCTGTTTTGAAACAGTCTCATTGCTATTTGTTTCTCAATAAATTTGATAAAAAATAAAAATAAAAATTTTGATCTGGCAAAAAAAAACCAGGGCAACTCAATCTTATAGAATAAGTGACTATTATACTATGACTTATCAAAAAATATTTTAAATTATTTAATATTAAATGCTGTTCTTTACTGAAAGTATCTGCTTATAAATAAAGCTTACCTTCATTCCTGAACTTTCTTGTTCTACAGTTAATTTAAAAAATTCTTAACTTAATGGTGTCAACACATTAGAAGTGGATATTCTATGGATTTTCCTTTATTTTTTTTCTTATCAGAATATTTTTTATAAAATGATATGTTCTATATACCTTTTTATGTCAATTATATACAAATATAGTGTGGAAACACATGGGGTATGCTTTTACATTTCATTAATACATAAGTGTGTAATCCATAATACAATATTTGAATACTGCTGGATTTTCTGTTATTTCTCAGTGTGGTTTTGTTTTGCTTTCTTTGTGGTACCAGGGCTTGAACTCATGACCTTGTGGTTGTGAGGCAGGTACTTGTGCTATTGAGCTATCTCCCTGGCCCTCTCAGAGTGTTCTATGGGAGCTAATGCAATTTAGTGATCATGAGTACAACAAATTGTATTACTTTCCTAGATTAATGCTCTGAAGAAAGAATATCAACTTTTATGGTCCAAACAAGATTTACCACTTTTAGGAAAAGACCTAACTTTCTCACAATACCTTCAACATTGTGTATTTCTATGGGATAGGCACGTATCTGTCATAATATAAACATTTGTCTTCACAATGCTTTATAAACATGCTGAAAATAATGTAATCTCCACTCAGCTTATAAATGATTTGATTATTCTCCTTGACCAGTTTTATACATTTACATATTGGCTAAGGGTCAATTATTTAAGACAAAAATACACTGTATCTTAAATTTCAGAGGTATGACATGAGAAGACAATTTTGTAATTCATATTATAATTTATTCTAAAATACTATCTTTAAGAATTATTATATCTATTGATGTTATTTATTTAATATTACATGACACATTTTTAACTTTCATAAAATATATTCATAGGGAATAGATATACATCATTTATAAATACATGAAATATATGACCATTAAGGGTGCTATATATTATGACAATATGTTATCCACAAAACTCAGAGACAGCCAAATAACCACATTGATGACATGTTCTGTTGTTTGTCCTGGATGCATAATAAGAAAAAAAAATTAAATTTGTTGAATACATGAATACAGATACAAAGGTGAATAAGAATCTGGACCAAACTTTGAAAACTAAAAATGACACAAAATATGCAAATATCACTCATAATATGAAAGTTTTATTACAGGGATAGTGTGGGGCCCCAGCTGAGGCCTCAAGATCCACCACTGATTGGAAGCAGGTAGGCCATAGGAGAGAGCTGGGAAGTATCCAGAAGGACAAGGGGTGGACTTGAGTAAGGAAGAGGAAATGGGACACACTGGGATGAATCTACATACTGTGACAAAGGTGCAGTGTTGGTTGAGATTGATGAAGGAGGCAATATCTGTGATAAAGAATTGTCTGTGCTTTTCTTTCAGATATCTACTATGTGCTCCTTCCACAATGGAGACAAAGAAAAGCACCAGATTGTCCAGTTTTGTTCCCATACAAAATATGTTTTTCTTTGAAGTCAGTATTGGGATCATGGCCAACACTGTCCTTCTTTTTCATTTCCTCACAGTTCTTCTGCAGCACATGCCCAAGCCCACTGATCTAACCACTGGTCACTTGGCCTTTATCCACTTAACTATGCTCCTAACTGTGGGTTTCATGTATATAGATATTTTTCATTTTCAGGATTTCTGGAATGACATCACATGCAAATGTGTTCTCTATTTGTACAGATTAATGAGAGGTCTCTCCGTCTGTACCACCTGCCTGCTGAGTGTCCTGCAGGCCATCACCCTCAGCCCCAGAAGCTCCTGCCTGGCCAGGTTCAAACAGAAAACCCTGCATCAGAACCTGTGCTGCTTTCTCTTTTTATGGGTTTTCAATATGATCATCAGTAGTCGTTTCTTAATCTCCACTGTCGCCACCCCTAATGTGTCTTCACAGAGTCTTATGTTTGTCACTGAATCCTGCTCTCTTTGGCCCATTAGTTACTCAGTCAAGTACATGTATGTTTCACTCATGACCTTCAGGGATGTGTTCTTCATAGGGCTCATGGTGCTTTCAAGTGGGTACATGGTAATTCTCTTATACTGGCATAAAAAGCAGTCAAAGTACCTTCGCAGCATCAGCTTGTCCCCCAAAGCATCTCCAGAACGAAGGGCCACCCAGACTATTCTGTTGCTCATGAGTTTCTTTATGATCATGTACTTTTCAGACAGTGTTATTGCTTCCACTTCTGGAATGTTGTGGAAGAATGTCCCCATTCATTATTGTGTCCAAATGCTCTTGGCCAATGGCTATGCCACAGTCAGTGCTTTGGTGCTAATCAGTACTGAAAAACTGATAACCAAAGCCTCAGTATATGTAGGGAAGGTCAATAAATGTTTGATTATTCATTGATAGATATTTACCCTTATGATGGGCAAATGCTTTGAATTTCTGTTGAATTTTGAAATATATGGCAGAATGC